TATTAGACTATTACAATGTTACTTTATTAATGTTCATATGTATTCAGTCAAATGATTGTTAAGAAGATACAATGTAACATCAATCTAATGCTATTAAATTGATGGTTTTGTTAAGGACACAATCTCCATTCGAAGCCTCAAAAAAGAAGCATTGCCATTTGCTTAATGTTTCTATTGGTCCGAATTGAACTCGACTTATAGAAAACTGTATGTTATTGTGCATTACTGTTATTGAAGTACATTTAACTTACATAATATCAAATGCATTCTTTCTATTTCAAAACAAGTAAACATTTCCTTGAATATTTTTGTAGCTTGTAGAACATAATTTTGTAGCTTTTTAAGGATATTATTTTAGAAAAAACAAATTCCTTTACATATATGTTTTAAAAATCACAGAAAACAGCATTCCCTATTACTATCTGTTAATTTTTTTCACTATTAAGAATAAATAGTTGTATATTTTGTATATTATGGGAAAATTGGTTGTATATTTAAATTTAAAAAATCAGTTTGCTTAAAGAAAAAAAAAAGGTAGCCGTTACGATATCAGGTTTTCAATAACTTTGTGATCTAAAGGGGGCGAGCAACAGAAGGAACATACAGCTAATAGCGGCCATTCTTCTTTCGAGGGCCGCTTAAATTGTTCGGTTTAGTTTGCTTAGGTATGAGAATGAGTGTGTAGGATAGGGAGATAAACAATACAAAGATTAGATTTTTTAAGATTTCTGCATTAGCCTCCCTTTGTTTACTCAGAACGGATATATGTGTACGTATGTATGTATACTATCTATCTATCTATCTATCTATCTATCTATCTATCTATCTATCTATCTATCTATCTATCTATCAATCTATCTATTGTTACGACCTTCTCTTTCAGGCCTTCTGCAAACACTGCTAAACACAACACAGCACATCTAACACAAGAACTTGTCAACAAGAGCTTCAATAAACAATGTGGCGGTTTATTTACAATTACACCAACAACAGCCAATGAACACAATTGGCTACACTGACTTCAAATGCTTTGCTACACAACAGAACTGCCTAACTTATCCCTACAAGTCTCTCCAGCTCGTACAGCTACATTTTCGAGGACTCACTTTTTAGCGCAGTCCTTACGGCCTTGCTGTCCTGGACTCTACTGTCCTTTCTAACATATTGTCTCTCGTCCGTAAAGGCTTTTTGGTCACATGACCATAACATTGGTCATATCTATCTATATATTTATCTATCTCTATCTATCTATCTATCTATCTATCTATCTATCTATCTATCTATCTATCTATCTATCTATCTATCTATATCTATCTATCTATCTATCTATCTGTCTATCTATCTATCTATCTATCTATATCTATCTATCTATCTATATCTATCTATCTATCTATCTATCTATGTATCTATCTATCTATCTATCTATCTATATCTATCTATCTATCTCTATCTAGATATCTATCTCTATCTATCTATCTATCTATATCTATCTATCTATCTCTATCTATATATCTATCTCTATCTATATACCTATGTATATCTATCTATCTATCCAGGGCTTTTTTTGTGACGGTACGTACCGGTACTGCGTACCGGCACCTTTTTGAAAAAGTTATTATTTTTCTTGTATTTTAACGTATATTATTAATTTTTAGTAGTTAAAAGTTAGGCATTCAACTACTGAGTACTGGCACCTAATCACTGGGTACCGGCACCTATTTTTTTTAAAAAAAAGCACTGTATCTATCTATCTATCTATCTATCTATCTAGGTCTATATTTGTTAAGAACGTTTGAAAGAATAAGCAAAAAAACTAATTTATAATTTCGAAATTAATCTCACAAACTTCTTAGTGCAGCAGCCAAGCGATAGTCTAGATCAAGGATTTAATGTTTGCATCTTTACATTTTTAGTTTGTTTTAGTTGATCTTCTAGCAGTGACATGTTTAGCCCGGCTTATCATATCCTATTAACTTTGTTTTCCTTTTAAAGAACGATATCAGTAGGTCGTGTGGTATACTTCAGACTGCCATCACGATAGTCCCAAGTTCGAATCCTCCCCGCAGGAGGTTTGGGATTGGACTTAATAATTTGTAAAATTGAAGCAACGTCCAAAACATATTCCACGCTCAAAACATACTTTATATTCTAAAACATATCTTATGTCCGAAAAACGTATTTCATGTCCAAAACATATTTCATGTCCAAAACATATTTCATGTCCAAAACATAAGCTATGGCTAAACATATCCCATGTCCAAAAAAACATATTTCATTCCAAAGCATGTCAACACATATTTCATGTCGAAAAAACCCACCATATTTTATGTGAAAAGCGTATAAAGCAAACAAAGAAATCTATATTTAAAACTCAATTCTTATTTATTTTTTTTTTACAGATGCTTGTATGAGTAATGTAATCATTTATTTCTTAATTATTTCACAGTAGCCAAAAGATGAATTCAGTAACCGGATTTGTGATAGCTGTTACTGTCAGTTACTTGGCCACGGTGAATGCCGAAACATCTTACCTGGGTTCTGTTGTAGCCACTTACACACCAGCATGCCAGTTGGTAGTTGCTTATAACTCCTCAGAAGTCTTAAACTTAACTGTATCATGCAATGATATAAGTATATATGCTGGGTATTTTGACAGAGTGAGGCTTGGGTTCTGCACGGAAAATGAGTACAGCAACTTAACAGTGACGGTGTGTGGTGGTATCGTCACGGACACTGAAGTCAGTCCGGCTAGGACTAATTTCTATGCCGCCGTGAACAACGTATCCCACAGCTGTCAGTCCAACATTTACGCCTGCATTAAAAAATCCGTCATTCCCATGGCAGTGAGGCAGCAGGAGCAGTTCTGTTCCCTCATGAGCCTTAACGTCAACGGCACATCTTCTGAGCAATGCTTGACTACAGGAGACTACAACTGTACCCAGGTCGAGTTTAACCAGCTGAAGACTGCTGCATGTAGTGTTAACAGCACAACTGTGGATCAGAACTTCTCCAGGGCATTACTGAACACGACCTCAAGATGTCAGTCCATGATCTCTTATTGTGCTGGAAGCAGCAATGACGCCTTGTACTATGTGTTTGTTCTTCAGTACTGCCAGTCTTTAAAGGTCGATAACGCCGAGGCCTGCTTTAAATTTGGCGGAGCCTGCACTAATGCAGAGTTTGATATGCTGAAGCTTGCAGCTTGCGGCCCGGAGACGACGACAATGTCAGTCAGCAGCCCAACCACCACCCTATCCACACCTCCAATTGGTGCTACGAATCTCACCCTATCCACACCTCCAAATATTGCCGCGAACATTTCTGGGACTCTGATGGTTCTTGTGCTGAGCTGGGCGACAGCTTTCTCCAGCACACTGCCAGAGTTGTAATGACACTGTCACATTTTTGTTATTTACTCGAGTATTTTTTTTTTATGACATGTTCACTGTGTGCCCTATAATTTGTTACTCAAGAAATTTAAAAAAAAAAAAAAAGATCTATCATTTAGACTTCATTGGTCAATGGACATCCAAAATAACTGAAAAGCTAAAGACGTCTTCTGGCAAATGCACCAGACGTTTTAATATTTCTTTTCAATATTCGAATACATGACGAAAATTATGTGTAATTCACAAATTGAAAGACAAATTTCCGTAAGGGCAGAGTGTTCCAAAATTATACGATAACTAAATTTTAAGTTGCTTTAATTTTATTGAAAGAATATATAAGCTTTACTATTTTTTTTTAAGTAAATCTAATATGATAGCATCCCTATTTTAGATCGAAAAGGAGATATAGATCTAGACTAAATCCTAAGAGCTCTAAATTTGTAGAAGTATTAGATTTAGATGGCCATATAATAATAATAATAATAAATCACCAAAGTATGAATTCCCGCTGGCTGACTTGGTGAATAGATAGACAAACTTCCAGGCATCTGACGGTCTCAAACTCACGCGCTCTATACACGTTTTAACCAAATATCATTTTTAATTACTTGTTTCGTTGTATATTTTAATAGTATTACAAGTTCTAAATTGAAGTTATTGTCTTTTTGACAAAATGTATTTATTCTTGTTTAATACTAACATGTGTGATTGCGTGAGTGAAACTAACAAATGGATATTTTTTCTTTATAATTTAGCCCTGGTCTTAACAAATGAAAAAGCTGGACTGGTTTATTCACTTGCATTCTTACTATGTGTCCCTAATCATTGTATATCTTACGGGTAAAAAACTCTGACAACTACACAAAATCACAAGCACCTTGTATATTGTACATTTGAATACTATTGCAATTGACTGATACTTAACATGCCTCTTATGAGAGAGTGTTTTCGGAAACTAATGAGAGATTCTCTTATATTTGTAAAACATTTCAAATTAGGTAAATGAATTCTATAGGAGGTGCTGAGGCTGAGCGGTAAAGCGCTTGGCTTCTGAACCGGCGGTCCCTGGGTCGGATCCTAGTGAAGACTGAGATTTTTTATTTTGAGATCTTTGGGCACCTCTGAGTCCGCCATGACATTAGATGGGGAAAAGTAAAGGCGGTTGGTCGTTGTTCTGGCCACATCATCATCACTCCTTTAAGTTCCTCATAGAACATAGGGCCTCGACAAAAACACGCCACTCTCCACGGTCTCTTGCTAGCTTTTTTATGGCTTCCCAGCTCTTTCCTGTCCTCTCGGCTTCACCTAGTACACTGCGTCGCCATGTTCTTTTTGGTCTTCCTCTGCGTTTTGTTCCCTGTGGTTTCCACTCTAAGACCTGCCTATCTCTGTTGCGGGTATCTTTTCTAAGGGTGTGACCAATCCATCTCCACTTCCCCACTAAGATCTGCATTTCTATATTTTTCTGTCCACTCATCTCCCACAGTTTGGTGTTTTCTACTTTGTCATACCAGTGTATTCTTAGGATATTACTCAGGCATCTGTTGATGAAGGTCTGTACTTTTGTTTTGTTGTCGCTTCAGTTGTTCTCCATGTTTCAGAACCATACAGTAGCCTTGACATTAGAGTTAAAGATGGCCACATGACACCCTCTTAAACCCTAGGCCACAGAATCAGATGACCTTTACATCATCTACCCTATAGACCACAAGGTCTGAAAGTGGAACTTTACTGTTTTTTACTTAATGAATTCTATGTTCTAGCTTTTAGCTTATCAATGAGGATAGTAAAATTAGTAAGAAACAGTTCCACTGTAGAAAATTGAAGTAAAAATGTATTTAAATACATGTGCACTATTATTTGTTTGACTACTTTGAAATTATGCTTCGCTTGTTGCCTACTAATACATACGGATAATGGACTAGGGAAAATACTGTGATGATGGTGCATTGGAGAATCTAGGTTTACGTTCTGGCTGTCCACTTGATAGATGTAGAGCAATAACACTACTCCTACTCAAACGATTTGTTCAACTTTATTTTTTTTATGACAACACGTTTTGAATCGCTAACATACTTTTGTAACAACTAAATACAGCCATCTGGCTTATGCAGTGGTCAATGCGGACGGATATTTAAGGAAGGTGTCGCTACGATTTAGTGAAGTTTTTAAGCAGTCCCTGAATGTATTACCGTTTGTAACTATTAATGTATATCGTCTTTTTCTTATTATGTTTAGATTTCATGAAATAAAATAGCTTTCGATTTGATACTAAAATCTTAATCTTATATTATCTTATCTTATATAATACAGATGTTACTTCAAAAAAAAGGATGATTATGTCCTACGCCAAGTCACTGGTTTTCTTGGCTAGCTCAGGCAACCCATTCCATGCTCTAATAGCACTAGGGAAGAGAAGGAGTATTTGTACACATTTATCCTAGCATAGGGGACGAGAAGTGTACTTTTATTTTTGTGTCTTTCAGAGTATTTTATTAAATTTTGTTTTTGTATTTGAAGATTATGGTTCAGTGTTTTATGTATAATTGCTACTTTACTTTTAAGTCTTCTTAAAAAGTAAAGTTTTCCTTTTCGATTTTGCGATTTACAGGCCAGATGATGTAAAGGGCACGTGTTTCTTTTCTAAAGGGTTAACCAAGGTCTCATGTGGCCAGCACAAAGACCAACCGATGTTTCTTTCCCCACCTAGGCTCAGGAATATAGTGTTCTCCTCCAAATTCCTCTTTTCACCAAGATTGGTAGTCGAGATTCGAACCCCGGGCACTTCGGTTCAGAAGCCAAGCTCTTAACCACTAACCCACTCCTCCTCCTTCATAATATTTCAATTTAAAAAAACGAAACTTGCCATTTTATCTGCATTGTTTACCAAACTACGGTCTCATAGAGGTCGCCTCAGAGTTGATGTAATAACATAGTCTCTTTATTTTCGTTTTAAATTCAATATTCTTCTTCATTCTACAACAATGTATTATTTTGATTGTTTGTTTAACATCAGGAAACTAGATTGAAATCTATACACTTGGGAAACAAAAAGTACTATGATAGCTTCTACTTTCTCACTACAGTCAGTCTTGAAACTTATCTGTTACGACTCAGTGCTTTGGTCTGACCTCGCTCTTAATAATAAGCGTCGCATACATTTCATGTCAAGAACTTTAGAAGACACACAATCAGTGACTTAATGTATGTGTTAAGAAATGGTTACTTAGACTTGAAAGGCTTAGCTGAGTGGTAAAGCGTTTGGCTTCCGAATCGAGCGTCTTGAGTTCGAATCCCGTCTTTGTGATTTTAAAAACTCTCCTGTGTCAACCCGACCCTAGTGTGTACCTGGGGGAAGTAAAGTGTTCTCATTAATTAAGCATTGCTATTTCGGAAAGAATCGATTTGTACAAAAAGATGATACATGTGAATGTCGCGTGCTTTCTCGCCGGAAAACTATCGATAATTTTATCAAAATCATTATTCTCCACTAGGTCTTGTTCAATAGACGAAATTGCCATATTAGTGAGTCGTAAATTCGTATTTTAGATCGTCAATTATTCTTCATCAAAGTAAATTTGGAAAAACTTTGCTTGCTTGCCACATTGCAATAGTAAAAACAAATATATGTGAATCAAGATGGCAATATTCGGGGGTTTTATGCTCAACAGATTCTTGTTTTGAAAATTCGGAGACTCTTTGGCCATCTTACAAGATGGCTTGAGTTCGAATCCCGACTCTAGCGGAGTTTTTTTTTTTGCTGAGCGGTTGGAAAACCTTCTTTCAGATACCCCTCCGCCACTGGTCCACAAAAGAGATTAGACCATTACTAATTAGTAATTAAAAAAAAAAAAACACCATTATAAACTTGTTCATAACCAGCGCATTGAAAATGAAGTAACATTATGAACGGCTTAAAAAAGTGTACAAGTTGCCTTCAGAGATTTAAACAAATCTGATAAATTTTGATCCAAGCTGGTCTACAGTTTACATTTAATTAAATTTTAAGAAAGAATATAGGACACAACAAATTACCAAAACAAATAATTGTTTTCTTAATGTAATTATAATGTGTAGTTTTACTGAGAAAGTTTGTCCTCTGATGCCCCGACCACTCGAAGCCCCGTGCGGCCCGCAGCACCAGCACATTGCTAGCTAAGCAACTGGTAGTATGTGTTGGTGTTTGTGCGTGTGTGTTGTAGGCCCTATGTCTAGTGTATATGTGTGTGAGTTGTATGTGTTGTGTGTGTGTTTGTTTTATCTGTGTTGTCTGTGTGTGGGTGTTGGAAGAAATTATACATATTATTTTAATATAAAGTATAACAACTTAATTGTATACTAATTAATTAGCTCCTCCTACGTGTCACGTTCTCAGTCATAAAAAAGTCGATGATTGGCGTGAGTCCAATCTTCACATTAAATTAAACGAATACATTCAAGCATGGGCAAGTTTGCTGTATTCTCTGAGATCACATTGTGAAGTATTGTATCTCTTCAGTTTAACGACATCTCTTGGCATTTGTATGACGACATTTCTGTACCAATAAGACAGTAATCAAACGTTTTTATAGTCTAAATCTGTTGTTTCAAGTTCTAATGGAAATATCTTTTATAGTCTAAATCTGTTGTTTCAAGTTCTAATGGAAATATCTTTTATAGTCTAAATCTGTTGTTTCAAGTTCTAATGGAAATATCTTTTATAGTCTAAATCTGTTGTTTCAAGTTCTAATGGAAATATCTTTTATAGTCTAAATCTGTTGTTTCAAGTTCTAATGGAAATATCTTTTATAGTCTAAATCTGTTGTTTCAAGTTCTAATGGAAATATCTTTTATAGTCTAAATCTGTTGTTTCAAGTTCTAATGGAAATATCTTTTATAGTCTAAATCTGTTGTTTCAAGTTCTAATGGAAATATCTTTTCTTTCTTCAATTGTTAGGACAACGAACTAGTACTACTGACCTAGTTTAATGTCTCATAGTTTATTATTATAATCAACTGTGTCACGCGACCCTGTTTCCAAAAAACGACACTTGATACCTTAGGAATCTTGGTGGCGATTTTAAGGTGAATTCTTTAATGTTACCAATTCTGAAATTCTACTCAAAAGTTCAAAAGTTCTGCTAATAGTTAGTTGCAATATTCCATGAGTATTCTCGTGTGTGTGTGTGTGTTAGAGAATAAAAGAGGGATGGGGAGATAATATAAGTTTTGTAAAAAAAAAAGCGTAGTCTCTGACAATGTACATTCCACCACTTTCCCCCTGTAGCCCACCCCGCCCCTGCAGACACGCATAAAGGTATTAAAAAAAAAAAGGCTTTAGCGATGTAATCAGATCTCCCATGGTCACGCATCACAAATTTTGGTTCCGCCTCTAACTATAAATATGCCCCCAGTGTTGAGTGTTGAAAGGTCTGGAGACAGGGCTAGTAAACGGACGTTTAGAAAACTATTTATTTCTTGAGTTGAATTGGTCTTTAAGAAACAACCGTAAGTAACAATTACATTTTCTATCTTATAAAACGACCTGAGCGGCCTTTAAAATGCAATATTTTATATCTAGAAATTTAATTTGATTCATAACTAGCCGAGGGTTAATTAAAGTAATTAAACTATCAAATATTACTTCAAAAAAAACGAATATAGACAATATTGATGCCATGGCTTCTGTGAGTCTAATTATATTTATATATTTTCAATGTCTATTTTTATTTTTAAGAATTACATTATTGAATGACAATTAGATTTAAAGGGAGCGATGCATAGTCAGGATTTTTAAATACAAGTACTTATATGTAAAGGTGGAGGCGCGGTGGCTGAGTGGTGAAGCGCATGGATGGCTGCCTGGTCGTGCGGTTTGCGCGCTGGACTGTCGTTTGGATTTATCGACGGTCGAGGGTTCAAACCCTGCCCGCTCCGATCCCCCTGTCTTCCTGCGGGAGGTTTGGACTAGGAAGTAAACTATCTTCAACTCTGAAGGAACATCCGAAACATGTAAAACAAACAAACAAACATGGCTTCTGAACTGGGACCCCGGGCGGGCTCGAATCTGGGTAAGACTGGGAGTTTTACTTTCGGGATCCTTGTGTGTCCCTGAGTCCACCCAGCTCTAAAGGATACCTGACATTAGTTGGATATCAAGATGTCAGCAGTAAAAGCGGTTGATTGTTGTGCTGGCCACAGGACACACTCGTAAACTGTGGACCACAGAAACAGATGACTTTCGCATCGTCTGCCCCTTAGATTGCCAGGTCTGAAAGGGGAAATTTACTTATACGGTATGTAACAGTCTTGAACTCAATACCTTTCAATAATTCTTTCAGCCTCATTTTATTATTTATTAAGGGAAGGAGTAATTTTGAAACCTTCTCCCTGAAATTTAGTGACTATAGTTTTCCTAAAGTTTTATTTTTATTGTAACCTCTCCCCCCCCTCCCTCTTTGAAATTGTGTCATTGTTTAAGTTTAGTTTCGATTTATGTTTTCGGGCTTTTGCTTGAATTCACGTTAATTTAATTTTCTAATGGAGCCCAAGGTGAGGTCAATGTGTCAGTGATGCTACTGGAGAGGTTGTATAGCCCACCTTTTTAGGTTGGTATCCTTGTCTGACTAGAGACAATAGATGCATTGTTATGGCACGATTATGAATGAGTTATTTGTTTTGAAAAGAAAGAATGAGTTAGAGACAATGACGCGACTAGTAAAAACAAGAAAAAGTTTCTAGGAAGATTAGCGAATAGCAGACCACTTTAGAGAGAGACATCCTTTTATGAACGTAGAGATTTAGCTTGACAACATTCGACGGTTCCTTGGATCCTTTTGTTATTATTAAACTTATTCGACATCGCTTTCAGCGTCGACTAACTTACCTTTCGCCTGTTGTTAGATTTCGATATTTGAGTGTTACCTCCGTTTGACTTAGCTGCATTGGACACATCGGGGAAACGCCTAACAGCGTCCACCTCACATAGATGTAATAGTTTGCGGGATAATCAAATCATTATTTAAAACAGAATCGTTGTCACATTTTCTTTTGGAGAT